GAATCGCCACCCTCCTTCACGCTGCCAATATCGCTTTGGAAGAAGTGCTTGGGAGCACACGGGACAGAGGGCAGCAGATTAAGCTGCAGTGACCAAAAACACGGCTGAGTGTGGCTGAAAAGACCACAACTTCCTAAACTGAGGCAGATGTTTTTTTTTAAAAAAAAAAAAAATCAAAACAAACACACACACACCTTGGGAATTGTGTCAACTTGAAAATTAATGCAGTAGCTTATTTTTTTAAAGAGAATTACCTAGAAGGAGGGAAAAAACAAAGTTAAGTAAAAAAGAAGGGCAGAGCTGGAATGAAAAGCTTGGTCTGAAATTGTAAGATTAGTCATCACACAGCTCACAAGTTAAGTAAGTGTTTAAAAGAAACAAATTAAGTGGAGTAGATTTATGATGCCGCAGAAATTACCCTCCAAAGCAAGTTGTCTATGGATAGATGCAAATCTGTATCAGAAAACCAGATGATAGAACAAAGTCAAGGACTTTCAAACTTACAACTCATTGCTATGGCAACTTGCTCAACAGGAAATACCTTTAAAAAAAAAAAAAGTGTTAAAGGTTTTTCCTTAAAACATAAATCTGCACCATGAGAAAACAAGATAGGTAAACGTAATACCATAAATTGCTCTCTGAGGGAAAAATACTTTATAGCATACCAGGAGAAGTGCTTGTCTACAATCCCAGTAAAATTCCTTCTTTGATGAGTTTGATAATTTAGGCAAAGGGTAGCCAAGATCACTCTGGGTTCAAAATCTATACTAAAAGTTAGTTAAGTGCCTGGGTTATAATAGAAGATTCTGGCATAAAAGCGGCTCAAAGTTTATGTCTCTACTCAAAGCTCACAGTACAGCCTCTCAGGAGCACATTTTCCTTTTGGAGGTAAACCCAAATTTCTAGGATATCAGTACATTCTATTTCTAAAAACTATGACTAAAGGCAGGGACAAACACTGAAGCAAACTAAAAAGATAATTCAGTTATTTTTGAACTAATATAGACTGATAAAGTGACATACATACTTCCTGAATTATTTATGTAGTCTTCAGAGTAATTACTAGATCATATTTCTGTAGAAATCAGCTATGCTAGTATAGGTATTAAATTTGCCCAATCTGGAAAATGAATAAAATTCAGAAAAAGGATCTTTGTCTACAATATGCATTTACAGAAGGATTCTAGGATAGATTAATCTAATGTCTATACAAAAGGAATATTTACCTAAGAAAGCCTCAAACAATTTTGTGATTTGAAAGTACTGTACACCTACACAAATTTGTGCCCTTGGCTGGACTGCAGGTGAGTTACGAGTCTTGGTAATCACGCTGGCTGGTATTTCATTATATTTCCTCATCTCATTTCTACTTTTGCCCATCATATTTTTTATATACCAAGATTATAACATTTTCATACGAGACTTCAGTGCACCCTCAAGAGTTAGCACAGAGTTGCTTGAATTTGTGGATCTCTAGACAGTGGGGGAAGACACTCTTGGATATTTATTAAATGGTGTTTCTAATATTATATGTGTCATTTTCCCATACACGCACTTAGATACTTCTCTTCCCCTAAAGCAATATCTTACATTTTATACAGTGTTTCAAGTTCATAATAATACTTCTCTTTCTCAGTAGGTACAAAAAAAATCTATATTCCTGTTTGAGCTATTTAGAATCTTATTCTTACTCTCACCAGTCTGTTTTGAACGAAGACTATAACCTATCTGGCCTACATCAATTTGCAGTAGGCAACTCAGCAATGTGTAATACCTCCACAAGACAATTCAATCCTATATCTAATTTAAGGCTTGTTATCCAAGACCTTTCCCTCATTTCCCTCATGCCGGTTTTCCAGCGCTCGCATCTCTTTGCCTGTTTGAGGGCTGGGTTGTTTTTCACCACCATCTGCCACCTTGTCTTCTTCCTGCAGCTGGCAGCTTTGGTCCTGACCTCGATTCCCCCAATGTGATGGCATGACCTCCCTCGCGCCGCTGCAGTGGGTGCTCATTCGGGTGGTATCTGCAGCCTTTACAACCAACTATCATTGTATATCCCTGTCCTTCCCCAGGGTTTGCCACCCTACTGAACGCAGCATCATTTGTAAGTGTAATTAATGCGCTGTTTATGCACTCTTCAGAAATCATTAATAAGGATGTTAAATTAAAGCTGTGCTTAGTAGTGCACCTCAAGTCACCCTGCATACTTCTGTCTGGGTTACCATTTATCATTTCTCTCCATTCCTAATGCCTCAAGCAATTCTAAATCCTATGACATAATTCGCATTCCATTTGATATGAACTGTTACTTTATTATTTTGGCTGCAATTTCTACACTTGCTGGTTTTCTATTTTAAGGATAAATAATGCATTCACATTTTTACACTCCTGTAATGCCTTCCCACTTCTTTCTGACTTACCAGAGCTGCTAGTGCTCCCATGCTTTCTGATTGGCTAATTCTTTTAATGTTAATGTCAACACCTATTTATTTGCTTTTTACCCAGCCGTTATTCAAAAATTCTTACAGTTCCTGCCCATATGCATCTCATCACCTTGAAATGAGACTGATTGCCTCAAAGAGCCAAGCAAAATGCACCCTAACTCAGCACACCTGATTTTCTCCTCCTTATTCATATATAAGCTACCTTTTTCTCCTGATTTTTATGGTGATTGAAAGTGAGATATGGGAAATACCCCTATCTATGGCTGTAATCCAGTCTACACCTTGATGTCACCTTGATTACTTCAGTTCTCTGCATCTGATCTCTACCAGCCTCCACAATCTGCATGTAGTTTTACTCATTTCCTTTCCCTGTTCTCCATTTCTCCTACACTGTGGCTTGGTAAATCCACTTGCACTTCATATTCTCCTCAAACTCATAACAACCGAGTGCTCCTTAATGGGACAAATTGCATAGTTTGCCTTGCTCCAGGTTTGATGGATCATTAGGGTGTGTCCTTGAGCAACCTTCTCTTCCTGCAGCTTCGCCAGCATTCCCAGGGTTGGGTTTTCCAGAGCAGCTCATGATCTGCACAAGGCCCTTAACTCCTGTGTTAACTCCTCCTAAACTTCTAATGCCACAGCCTCCAAGCAGCCAGGGAATTGCGCAGGGACGATCTCCCCCATGGGCATCTGTTGCTACTGAAATGTGACACTGTCTTTCACATAACCTGGCAGTGTGACTAATTCCTATTATTCCAGTGAAATCCCCAGCCACCACCGAGAAGGTTCCACAGTTACAGAAACCACCATATGGTCCCAGCAGTTGCAAGCCTGTGAGCATTAACGGAGGCCCATTGCAGGTTTGCCTTTGTTATTTTAATATTCTTAGTTTTTACACAATATTTCACTTCTTTCTCTCTAATCTGGCAGCCCCAAAAGACACACGTAATTGCCCAGAACATAAAGGCAGGAACCAAGGGTGAAGGTGGCAGCAACTGCACAGAGATCACACCGCCTCCCATCAGAATGGCAGCAGGACAGAGAAACATCCCTGTGTGTTCAAACAACCCCAGAGAAGAGTTCAAACCATTGCCAGGGGTTGCTTTCAGTTCTAATTTACATGCATTGCATTAAAATGAAAAAAAAAAAATGAGGTAACAACCTCATTTGGTATCACCTGCCTTTAGTGGCTGGGTAATGCAGAATTTTGAAAAGTATGGAAAGGATTTTTAATAAAATTCTTAGCAGGTGAAGTGCGAAGAGCACAGTTTTCTCCCAGAAGGAGGAGAAAGCAATATTTATCGGCCTTCATTCTGCCCGGCATATCTATTCAGGCCACAACCCCAACACTCCCCCATCTTCCCCCACAAAAGGTTTATTTTCTTCCATTGACACTTTTAACATCGATAGTTTTACTGCGTATTTCACCTTGACACAACACTGATGATCCAATTACCATTAAATAACCTAAAGAACATGTATTCTGATATGCTAAACATATGAAGTATCACACCACCAGCTGAAACAACCTAACAGATGTGAAATCACAGCCAGGTGATAACTTGCTTCGCAGTTCAACATTGAGGGAACTAAACTGCAGATACCCAGGGCTAAAGACTTCAGCTTGAGCTACAGAGCCCAAACTCCAGAGCTGGAGGGGGAGTAGTTCCTTCTGACTGAAAGGAGTCTTTGTCCTGAGCATCTAAGCGCACATCTGAAGGAAGCTCGTCCTTACCTGGCAGCCACCTGCCCATTTGACAGGCAAAAGAATTAACCAAAAGCTCTATAGAAAATAGCATAAACCTTGAAGAGTCATAGTTATGCAACAACTTGCATCCTCTCTGGATTGGTACAAAGAAGTGATTTATAACATGCTCTCATCAGTGGATTAAAAGGCTAGTAGAGTTCAGATAATTTAAGCTAATGATGCATTGCTTGAAAAAGAATTCTTTTTGCCCAAATGGTCTGAATTTGAATATACAGTATTTGCACCACAACAGAAAAAGCAAAATGTTGTATTGCTAGATCAACATCAGATGAGCACAGCCAACTCTGACCGCTATGCCCTTTCTCTTCCTTTTTGGGCCAAAATGTGATCCTTGTGAATTACACTGTGCATCGCGCTATGATGATGGATTTTGGCAAGGTGATGCTATAAACCGTGCCACTTGGCTAATACTTACATTTTTAGGGAGAAACATTAATGGGGACAGTTATGCATACAGTTATGCATTTAACCTGCAGCTGAAGCCTTTTCTTGCTACGTTTCAGCAGCGTAAAAGTAACCATGGCAGTAGCTCTCTCCATTTCTTCTCATAACAGAAGAATTGCTCGCATACTTCCTACCAGGCCTTTTTTTTTTATTATTTTCTAAAATATTCATATCCCTTTCTCTAACAATTGCTTAGTCCAAATAGTACCTAATTTCTTGCTTTTTCACATCACATACATCAAGAACTCCTTCTGAAAGTCTAACATTATATTTCTAATTATACAACAGCAAGGAGACAAAGATCCAAACTAGAAGAAATAAATATATTCTCATACGGTACTTACAATCGATTTGATGTTATTTTCTCTTGCCAATTTCATTGAGGATTTATAGCAATTTGCCAAGTCTTCTTTATGAGTGTCAGTGAGATGGCCTCTTGCTATCGGCCCAACGGTATGGATGACATCTGCAAAAAACGAAAGAAAAAGAAATTATGTTCCTAAGGTGGTTTATTATTTATTTAATGACTCTGCAGAACTACAATGCAAGTTGTTCCCCCATCTGTTATTCTACCTAGGCACAAAGGTAGGAATAATTTCGTAAGAAGTTGTTGTAACTGATCATGATAAAATCAGACATATCTGTGCAAATTAAATTAAAAAAAAAAACTGCGAAGATTCAATTTCAGACAAGAAGCACATTTGGATTAAAGAAAGAAATCACAAAAAAATGTACTAAACCTTGCTTAAATTAAATGTTTTCATAAATATTTGAAAACTTCAGGATTGCAGAACTATTTAAAACAGTTATTTCACCCCTTCAAGATCCTCTCACTAGTTAAGCTTACTCAACAAAAATCCCAGCACACAAATATGACACATATGCCTTCACTTTTATATATATAATATGCTGCATCTTTTCTCAGCAGCCATTTCAAAAGAAGGCAAGTTCTGACCTACAGATGTATTAGCTGTTCAAGGTAGATGCTTTCCCCTCGCATCAGAGCAGATGGAGACACTATGCAATAAGACAACTATATCTTATTCTCTTTGAAGCACCTTAATGAACACAACCAGAAAGTACGGGCAGGGAGAGTATCAGGACGGATGCCTCGGGCCTTGTTGAAATCAGATGGCTGCAACCAATTAAAGTCTTTAAAATGCTATCAGAAGAATGAAGCAAAAAGCCCATGGTAAAAAAGCTGGAATAAAAATCTACAAAGTTTAAAGGTATCATGAAAATATAGGGTTTTTTTTTTTTTTTGCTTGGTTGTTGTTTGTTGGTGGAGATAGTGTGGCTTTTTTACACTTGACAAGTAGCAAACACAGTGACTTTTCCGCTGTCCTTCTCTGCACCCTGTGTGGACACACTAGGCCGAGGGGCGGCACCATCCTTTCCTTATCCCCCCTGCAAACCAGCGTGGCCACAGCCGTCAGCGCTGCCCTCATCCTGAGACCCATTCTAGCAGCCTATGAGCAAATGCGAGGGCGACCATGCAACAAACTTAACAGGAAAGTTTAAAAAATGATGAAGAAAAAAGAAGCCTCTCCAACGAGCTGAGGCAGCATTAACACTTTGCAGTGCAATTGCTCAAAAGCTGCAGCCCAGTGGCTTAAATCAGCAATCTGTTAGTGATCACCACAAAGGCATCTGGAGGAGCAGCCTGCATCCCAAAACTCGTACTTGGGTCGCATTTGGGTCTTGCCAGTGAATGGGAAGTTCACCATTATCACAAACTTTAATGCCATTATTGACTTCTACATTTTAATTTTTACAAGCCCAGGGTAGGTGAGTCTTTAGACAGGACTCTGAGCATGGTGATGAATTAGTTTGCAACACATGAAGACTATTCCAAATGTTTTGGAAGCTTATCATCCTCAAAAAAGTGCTTTACATAGGTACATGATTATTCATAAACACATGATACAGCATGGCTTTACTCGGGGAGCAGTATCTAATAAAGCCTCAGTCACTTTCATGGTCAGCAGACACAAAGAGAACCAAAGATTTCACTGCTGTGCACCATCAGTGAAACTGGTTGCTGTGCATCATCAGTGAAACTGGTGTACCCATATGTGGCCTAAGCCATAAATTGCTGTGCTCGAAAACCTTGAGGGAAACCTCACCCAAAGATTTTCCACTCAGAGAACCACCAAAAAGACTTGGTTTTGGCTGCATAAAACCCTAGTAGAAACCACTGCTAGGAAACAGCTTCTTCAAGCTCCCGCGCTGCTTTGCACCCCAAGCAGTTAATGTGGTCAAAGGGGAGCAAGAAAGATGAATGTTGCCCCCAGAGTGCCCACTCATCGGTTTTCCCCCCTAGAAAACAAGTGAGCAAAGAGGGTAAAATACATAGTGCTCAGCTCTTGCAGAAAACATCTTAAGCACCATTTGTAATATTTTAATTTTTATGACAAATTAAGCTGCCAGCATTTCTTTAAAGCTTCTGATTTATTATAGTCAGTCTCCAAGCCAAGCGCTTTGATAAGAAACTCCATTTAAAAGAGAGCTGCAGTCTGCATGTCTGTAAATCACCTTCTCTGTGCACACAGCAGAAACGTTTGCTTGCTTTTCTAATAACATGCAGAGGGGGCGAGCCCCAGAGCAAGGTCTGTTTTCATTCGAGATCTGGGTCACAGCAATGGATCAAACTGCTTCTAATGATAATGAAGCTGTTCAGTTTTCAAGCCGTGTTTGTAGGGAAGCAGATATTTCTGCTTGGGAAATCCTCCCTGAGAGGAGGTAAGAGGGGGTGGCAGAAAGCATCAGCACAGATCTGCACTGTCCTTCTGCGCTCTGGAGCATCTTCTGGGGCGACGGAACAATTTATTTTCTAAGATCTCTGCTGCAACACATGGTTGATGCAAGGAGAGTTACTTGCTCTGCTCTTCTTTTTAGGCTCCTTTGCTTTTCAGGCACTTGGTTAGAAAGGTCATCCTCCAGCCTAAGAATAGTGAGTGTTATATGGCCGTTTACATGTGTGAATTCATGCAGTTTCATAGAATCATCACCACAGAATCATTACGGTTGGAAAAGACCTTGAAGATCATTAAGCCCAACTGCAAACAGTTTCCATCACGTCTGCTTGTTTCTGCTTATTTTTTTTTCCCTTTCTTTTCTTTTTTGAAGCGCTATAATGAAAGGGGGCCACTGCATCTTGTGAAAACCAGGTGCTATAGGTGTAATACCTATTAGAGGTATTACAGACAGACATTTCAAAACGTACCTGCCACTACCTTAGTCATCAGTGAACGCAAATTAAATTTGCACATTTAATTAACACTTCAAACCCATACAAACCAGCTCTTGCCTCAAATTCCTGCACAGACTTGTGCAAGAGGAAACCATGTCCTCCTCTTCACACAAACTCTGTGTGTGGAAAGACAAACACAGCTCGTTTTCCTGGCCTCTTTCATTAAAGATATCAGGCTAGAAATCTTGCTTGCCACACAGCACAGTATGCAGAGCACTACAGATGAGGACAGGGAGCCCATCCCAAGATGGAAAACAAGTTCATGCTACAGCAGAAAAAGAAAAGGGCCTCAAAGCCCTGGCAGAGGCCTCAGACACAGCTTCCGAATATTCCTTTTTGTGCTCTTTGCGAAGAAAAGCAGGGTGGTAAAACCTAGGGCTTCATTTGTAAATCTTCCCAGTTGATTTATGCAATAAGCACCTAGAGTATTGCTCCTGAAAAGGGGAAGCCAAAGTATGATTGATGGGAAACTGAATTACCTCCACGTATTCATACATACTGAGTGTTACTGTTCTTAAGGAAGATATGCAGCCTAATGCTTTGATAAACACATCATTTGTTTAGCTTGTTCATTTTCTGTCTCTAGTGACAGGCACTTGTACACAAAATGTGCATTTTCGATGTTTAATAAACAACTGTTAATCTAAGTTCAACTTAAATGAATCCCCCATGACTATAGCCTAATTTGTTTACTAACGCATGTCTCCTAAAATAGATTAGATCAGTTCAATATTTTAAATGCAAGACATCTTTTGTACATTGCAGTGTGCTAAATTTTACTGTGCCTGACACAGCTCCTTAGGTATGGCATTTTGTTTATATCTTTTCACTGTTCCACCTATGGACAATAACCAAAAATCACATAGAGCAGAATGGTCAGAAAAACGTATATAAAAAAATGCATTTTCAGGAGTTAAAGAGATGGCCTGAATTTTGTGGCTTGAATTAATGAGCACTACTCAATTCAAAGATCAGCCCTTCTAAAGCATCCTTTAGTATTAACACATCTGGTTTTGGGGTGATTCAGTATTTCATTAAATGCAAAAGTCATGATATTTAGAAATCATCCACATAAAAACTTTGAGCCATTTTCTGATTGGGAGGAAGCCAGCAGCACAAAGAGCTTGTTGGCAACCCTTCCACCACGATGCCAACGACCAGCCATGGACTCGAGGAAGGCAGGGCAAAGCACAGGTGATTTTGGCACTCATGGCAGTCATAAAATACCAGGCATGAGTAGGATGGAGCTGCTCTTAAAACTCAGCTAGTTTGCCCTTGACTCGAGGCTTACTCAGAAGAGGTGGTTTCAGTCAGTGAGGCACCAAAAGCATCAAACCACAACACACAGCATGGCTAAGGAATACACACTAGCAACAGGCCACATACATAAAACCAAGATGAATTTAACCACACTTGATTCTTGAATCACAAAGAAAACCTTGAAAATACAACCCTTAAAAGTTTGCAATACAAATCAAAATATATATTTTTTATATTAATTTCAGTTCCATGATCAGAAGCCATGTTAATTGCAGGAACTCAGAACTCTGCAATGAACTAATGCTCTCGGGCTTTCGAAACGCTGTCTCCTCTCACTGTGCTTGGGCTGCTCTTAATATCCAACCCAGCTCCACTAAAGCTGATTCAGTCACCTGCTTGCTGCACCACATACTTAACGCATATATCTGCCCTTCAGAAAACAACTCAGACTCATTAATGAAATTCAGTACCTGATTGACTACTTGTACCCAGAAAAGATTTATTTCAAATCTCAAATTCTGGATCTTTCCTCTGAGTGCCAAATACTCAAGTGCTGTAATATTAAACAGAAAATTACAGGGAAAGCCCTTTTTCTTCTTCTTCTTTTTTTTTTTTTTAAAAAAAGAATCCTTTAATCAAAATATAAATTGCATCTTGCTAATTTTTATAACTAAGACTCCTTTCAATATTCAGTTGAGATGCTTCAGGGGCACCGAATAAAGAAAAACGTCCCAAGATAATTACAGCAAAGGAACCCACAAACCGCAGTAGGATGTGTAATGTTTGCCATGGCCACGAGAATCCTCAACCAGAAACCTTGGCCAAGGCCTTTTGCAGAACAAGGGTTTGCCCATGATTGCAAGGCTTTCTTTCTCTTCCTTTCCCTTTACTCAGTCACTCAGATTATTAGGTCTTCTCCTCGGATACAAGAATTATTCAAGGCCATGAGCATG